TCGCTCTGCTGAGCACGCCAAGCTCTTTAGAGGCTAATTTGGCCTTCCCTTCCAAGTGACCACGAAACTGCACACTATTCGATATGTTGACGCCAAGGATTCCGATACTGGCTGAGGCAAGAAGGGGAGTGCCTTGAAACTGAGGAGATACGACAAAGGGGTTCTTTTTAGCGGTAAACGCGTAAACTTGTGTCTTCTGGAGATTGAACTGGACTAGATTTAGTCGGCCCCAATCCGAGACTTTGTTAAGCAAAGACTTGACTTCAGACACAAGTTTGTCCCGGTACTCGGCGACGTTTTCCCGAGAAATATTGGCACGGCCGGTATATAAGGCATCACCAGTGCTGTCGTCTGCATAGCAATGAATGCTACCAGTTAGCAGCATATCATTAATATGCAGGAGAAACAGCGTTGGTGATAGCACGCAGCCTTGTGAAACACCAGCGTTGATAGGTTTGAAATCAGAGCATGCACCGTCTACTACGACCTTGATGCTCCAATCAGCAAGGAAACTGGTGATCCATTTGCACAATTTCTCGGGAAGCCCATAGGAAGGAAGCTTCAAAAGAAGCGCTTTGTGCCAGACCCGATCGAAGGCCTTCGCTATGTCCAAACTAACGGCCAATGCCTCCCCCTTAGACTCTACTGCCTCCGCCCACCTATGAGTCAGATAGACTAGAAGATCACCAGCTAATCGACCCCGACGAAAACCGTACTGGCGGTCACTAATCAGCTGGTGATCCTTAAGGTACCTCATGAGCTGACAGTTTATAATGGATTCCATTATTTTGGAGAACAAGGAGGTGATGGCGATAGGCCTATAGTTGGACGGTTCTGAGCGGTCGCCTTTTTTAGGGATCGGGTGGACCAAAGCTGTCTGCCATGAATTCGGGACTACGCCTAGGGAGTAGGAGTACCGGAAAAGACGCGTTAAAAACGGTGCCAACTCCAGAGCACACGTCTTCAGCACAATGGGAGGGACTTGCTGACGTCCAGGGAGAAGAGTGCTTTGCGAACCGAGCGCTGTGTAAATCGCACATCCGGCATGGAGCACTCACATCGCGGGATGGTCGGCGGTGTGTTCCCCCGTCATCTAGAGTCGAGTTGGACGCAAAAAGAGAGCTCTACAGATCGGCTTTCTCCTTTGCGGCATGGGCCAGTGAGTCATCCTCTCTGTGCAGAGATAGAAGAGATGGCTGACAGAAGTTCCCTTGGACAGCCTTAGCGAAAGACCAGAATGCATGGGTTCCCGAAGGAAGGCGAACTAGCTTCTCGCCAATTCTGCTGATGTGCTCAGACCTTGCCTTGGCAATGACGCTTTTGAAGGACCTGGAGGCGGAATTATACTTCTTTTTAAGTGCGCTGGTGTTTACATCCCGAGACGTTGATGCGTCAGCCCAGGCCCGGTAGCACTCCTGCTTATAGCGTGATGCTGTTTTACAGGAGCGACCAAAGCATGGCTGGGATCTGCCTCCGATGGATGAATAAAAAGTTCTAAACCCAGAAATACCACATCAGCAACAGAATCGGCAGCAACACTGGGATCTTCCGGCGAGAAGCAAACCCGCCCCCAAGGGTAGGATGCAAAAAAAAACCGCATCCCGTCCCAATCAGCTGACCTATAGTGCCAAACACGGCGGCAAGCTGCAGATCGTAACTGCAATTGGAGCGTGAGTGGCACTCACACAATCGCATCAGACAATAGTCTGAAGAGCCCAGAGGGGCATCGACGGAGACCTGATATCCGTCCGGATGAGAGGTCAGCAGAAGGTTCAACAGAGAAGGTACATGGTCTTCCACATCTGTGATCCGCGTAGGCGAAGTAACCAGTTATTTCAGACCATATGCCAAAGCAAAGTCATAGACAGATCTACCTGCATGATCGGTTAAACAAGAACCAAGCCATTCAGCGTGGTGGGCGTTGAAATCACCGAGTATCACGATCTCTGCGGATTGGACCTGTTGTAGCACGGAGTCTGCAGCCATTTGGACGTGGTCGATGAGTTGGTCTGTGTCGCCATTACCGCTATGGGACCTATAGAGGCACCCGTAGACGCGGGGATGGTCGTCGCTGTCTACGCGCAGCCATAGGGTGGACAGGTCCGTACCTTCAAGACTGCCGAGGCGTCGAAAACAGATATCCTCTCTGACATATATGTAAACTCCAGCCCGGGGCATAAAGGAGTGTTCCAATTTGTACCCCGGGTAAGAGAGATATGAACTATGAGCCGGAGAGGACACCTGAGTCTCGGTTAAAAAGAGCAAGGCCGGCTTCGCCGTCTCTAGATGGTAATGGACGGCGTGTAGTTTCGAGTAAAGTCCCCTGATGTTGCAAAAATTCACGGATAGCGTGACAGGGGTCGCCTTGGTTCTATTGCTCCGCTTGCCCCGAGCAGCATTAGTCGCAAGCAGAATTTTGCCCTCCCCCCCTCCCCCAGAATAAGCGCACTTTATATGCACGCACGAATATGAGCACCCACGCTCAGGAGTGAATTAGTTTGGTCGTGGATGCTCAGCAAGGGATTCTCCAGGGGTGCTGGTATCCTCCTGGGGTAGTATTTTATTTAATTCCACTACCATGTTGATGGGGGGGGGGGGGGGGGTGGAATTGGGCCTCCGGTCACCTGCACTCACCAAGCGCAACGCAAAGGTCGTGGTACCACCCCGGTTCGAGCTGGCCCATCCGTGCGACAGCAAAAGCTACCGCTTGGCTCTACCACTGTTAAAATGATGATTCCGTGGTTATATTGCATTTAATTTTACTGAATGAATTTTGTAAACAATTCTTCAAAATTGACGTCTCATATTGTATCTCCAGAATCCAGAAGTGCCATTGAGAAAACAAAGTTAAATAATAAAGTTTCTATCTACCACCTACCTACGTTTCACTCCCGATCACAAGTCTCCTCTTATTACTGTGGGAGTTTTAGGCCGAGGCAGTGTCCACCGCACTATGCTAATGCATGTTGGCGGATTTTAGATATGCAGCTTTCTTCGCCGAGCACGTGATAAACTACCAAGCGAAAAGATAATATACTTAAGGTATAAAGCTACCAACCAGAATATTTCAATTACGTGTTATTTCATTGTTGGTACCAACTGCTATGAACAATCCTAGATAATTTTGGTCAAAATCTTACTGGCTGGTGGATAGAATTAATTATTCCGGCCTGGATAAGGCTTTACGCATATACTATATTGTGGTGTTAGAAATGGTTTGTTGGTTTAAATGACCAACTGCTGGTTCAAAGTCATTAAAAGGATGATTTTACGTAGATTTTGGACTGTATAATGCGATGAGAATATACTATTTCGCGATATTGCAAATGTCCCCAAATTCCTGCTACAGGATAGTTGTGAAGGAATGCATGTATACTCACCTTCTTTTAACCTGACTCGTGTCTCCAGGGGCTTTTTTACGCTAAGCCAGTGCGATTTAGCATCTAAGATTTCATCGCCACTTATCACCAGGTTAAGCAAGCTAAACTTAGGCATTAAATTGAAATTTATTAAGTTTCGTTGATCTAACAATATAATCGCGACTGTTGATCATAAGTATGTGTATTTACGCAAATAGTATTTGCGTACACAGTCTTGCACTATAATCTTGTCCTGTATAATTCCGGAATTCCGTCTCGAAGACATAATTAAGTTATTTGCCATGTGGTTACTCTCTTTAGATAATCTGTTACCTTACTTCGTTCGGTGGATATCGTCAATCTTAAGGTGTCGATACCTTGGCCTGTGGCAAATGTCAGAATAGCTGTCACGGCTTCCGACAAATTGATGTATGACAGCGCTTATATTAAAGATGTTAACAATTAATTACCTAAGATCCGATTCGATCCGATCCGATCCCAGGCCAAATTGGGAGTATTATCCCAATAAATAAAACACATTATTTTATTTTAATACTCGGATCTTAGTCAATTTATTTTTAATATTTTTAATATTATAGATTTCCACAAATTAGCGCCTGATACTATTAATTACAAAGCTAATACACTCAGACCGGTAAATAAGGCATAAGATATCCGGTACCGATGTTTTATACTATAGCCAAATGATTTGCTTAGACCAACTTAAAGGTTCTTAACGCGTAAGGAATTACCATGCCTCTATCTTTCTTCCTAAAATATGGTCTGTTATCCAAGAAATAGTGTACTTTCAATAAAGCAATAAATAATTTTCATTTTCATTTAATAAAACTCAATAAGCTTTTTAGTCATCTTTAAAGGCTCTCAATGCAACTGTGTGTTCTTTTTTCTGTTTCTGTATGTAGTAAAACTAGCGATCCGCCCCGGATTCACATAGTTGATTTCTGAATCTCGGCAACAACGCCAATCGGGTCCAATTGGAATCTAAACCATTCTCTAATCAACTTAATCACACACACAAAATTTCATCAAAATCGTCCAGCCGTTTAGTCACATACACACCGACAGAAGATACATGTATTATACATATAAACTTTTTTATTGAACCATTCCATGTATTGGTGAAAACGGCATTAAAATCTGTTGCATAGTTTAAAATATCTAACATACAGACGGTGGGAAGCGACTTTGTTTTATCTGTGAAGGGATAGAAATTAAATTACAATTACTTTCAAAATCAGCCCGCTCTAGCTTCTCTATTTAGTTTCGTTGACATTAAATTTCCTTACTATTTTAGTAAACGTAGTGATTATATTCTCTTTGATTTTAGTTGTCTAATATTACAACTTCGCCCCATCAGCTGAACATAGCCCTCCCCATAGATTACCACAAAATACAGTCCTGGACCTGATCCATCTAATGACTGCCTGCATTTTACATCAGGTTGTCACTCCATTTATTAGAGGGGAAGGGGGGTCGTGCAAATGCATAACCGTCTGTTATTGCGATGAACAAATAGACCTTGAAAGCGTAGTGATCAAATAACGGGAAATGCTCAATTTCGGCTGTGGATTACAAGACGATGATGATGGAAAAGAATAAAGTTAAACATTATTGTTCCAGGTCCATACATACCAAGCTACCTCTCGAATATAATTGGAAGGAAGCCATGCCTATTCCTCGGAGGTATTTTGAACTTGACGGCCATCATTCTTATCGTCACAACGAAGAACGTGGCGATGGTGTACGCTATCAGAATTATAAGCGGATTAGGCATGGGGATGGTCACCGTCAGCAATCTAGTCTACGTTGGTGAAATTGCGTAAGTATTGTATAGATAATTAATATTCTCTTTTATTGGCATTATATGTGTTTATTTATATGTTTGGTAGGTATGTAAGTTTGAATGAAAAAAAGTATCTATTGCACACATTGAACGTGAAGCGACGTAGTGCTCTATTGTCACCAAATAAAAAAATCACGATCCATTCAACTTCAATCACTTTCACCAATTTTATATCTTTTAATATTTCTTATTTTAATAACATTAAACCCAACACTAGGATTTGTCCTTTTGTGGAGGCAGTTTACAAACACAAATTGCACTAGGACAAACATCCAGACCCGGAACAATTATTTGTAGACCATACAAATATTTGTTCCGTGTGGGATTGAAACCCGCGGCCCCCAGCGCAACAACTCATTGCTAAGCCACTGCGCGACGGAGCCGTCAACCACCTTTATATTGCACTTATATAATAAAAAAGTACACCAAGATATTACAAAAAGTATATAATAAAAATATATATAATAAAAAAGTAAAAATGTACAGCAAGAGGTGATTTCAATTAATACTTCTGACGTAGTTATAAAATTATTTATTTCGATTATTATCCGGTATAGATGTGAATCACAGTGATAAGTTCAGTTTTTCGAAAGATATCTTATCTTTTGAAAAACTGAACTTATCACTTTGATTTTTTTATTAGCTTTAGATTTGAATCCTTTGGAAGGCTTTTGTATTTCACTATTTTAAACAGTCCCGTCCATTAGTCAAACAAATAGTTTTTTTCTTCATTTTATTAATTATTTGACAATTTTTTTCGGTAACAAAATACGAATCACCGGTTCCAAGCAGTCAAAAAAAATTCATGTTAATTAAAGAAAAAAACTTTTTTTGTAGCTTGTAATAAATGCAAATTGATTATTCAAAACATTACATGAGCGTTCGAGGTGTTCACTTTGGATTTTCCAAGTTTACTTTATTGCTTCAATTTTTGCTGCGACATTTCCCTTCCCACATAAACTCTAGACCAGGGGTTCGCAAAGTTTTAAGGTAACGGAACGCTCGCAAAATGCCTTCTATTTTATGGAACCCCACATCAAATGATTTCATGTTATAGACACTGTAATACACCTACATAGATTCTTCTCATCAAATATATTGTGCTATTTCAAAATAATATTAGCACTTAAGTGTTAAATTATTTAAGAAGCAAAATAATATATAATTGCGCGGAACCCTGGTGACTTATCCACGGACCTAAGGGTTCTGCGGAAAAGTCACCGCGGAACCCACTTTAAGAATCTCTGATCTAGACGTGACGTGTTCTAATGTAGGGCTTATTAAAATTCTGTTAACTAATTAGACAGCAGTCTGTCGGAATCGTGGATATTAATGCTGTGACAAACAAAAAACATGCACAGATTTAGTGATGCAAATATAAAATTTACATAAACCTATATCATGTTTTTTAACATAACCATTATTGAATTTATGCAAATAATCTGTGTTCAAAGAATTACGCAATCCTTTTAGGGTTCTGCATTCAACGAAACCTTTCTAATTTCGTTTTGGCTGTCTATCCTAATATGTTACATGATCACAGCTACTAAAGTAGATCTGTATTATATGTCTAAATTGTCAAATAATTTGAAAATTTGTTGAAAATGAAAAAAGGCATGAAATTTTTTTCGACTTAATTTCGAAGGTTTCTTAAGTTATCTACTATCGTCAAATATATTAAATAATTCATTGTATACAAAATATAAAGCTTCCAATTAGGTTTTGATCATACTGTAGCGGTTTAAGAATATTCAACACCTCATATATTTTATCTTTAACTTTTCACTATTCAATAAATTCAACAATTATCGCCATCTTTATACGCATTCATTATAAGACTCGCAAATGAGTAGCGCGAAAAAGCGACATAACAACTTTACTTTTTTTAACACTCGACTTCGCTCCCCATCTCATTTGTATACCACGGGCATTTATATAAGAAAGTCGATTCTTAAGGAGTGAACCGTAACTTTGATTAGCTGTCATCGTCATCATCATTACAGCCCTACACAAGTCCACTGCTGAACATAGGCCCCCCACAAGGAATCCCACAAAGCACGGTCCTGATCCACCTGCATCCATCGATTTCCTGCATGTCTTACCAGGTCGTCACTCCATCTACTGGGGGTACGCCCTACACTTCGTCCGCCGGTACGAGGCCGCCACTCGAGAACCTTTCTTCCCCATCGATCGTCGGTTCTTCGAGCTATATGGCCGGCCCATTGCCACTTCAGTTTACTAATCCTTTGGGCTAGTAAGCTAATAAGCTATCCAAGTTACCAAGATAATATACCAATAGAAATAAGCTGTAATTAATGAAAAATAGCTTTTATGTCTGTCTCAAATCCCTCCTCCCCATCATCTTTATAATCTTGTCAATATTTTTGATTAAAATTATTAATGAACACAATAGCTAAATTTAAGAAAATTTTACAGATAAACAGCCGAACCCTGTCTTATACGTCCCAACACGCTCTTGGCAAGTTTTTTATGATTAATTTTAATTACCTCAATGTCATGGCAAAGTCGAAAATTTTTATTTGCATTGGCCAACGAAGTTGTTTTTTCTGCCGACTTCCAAAAAGGAGACGGTACTCAATTCGACTGTATGTTTTTTGTTTTTGTTTTTTTTTATGTGTGTTTTTTTATGTTACCTCATAACTTTGTACTAGGTGAACCGATTTCGATGATTCTTTTTTTATATGAAAGCTGATAGTTCTCGTGTGGTCCCATATGAATTTCATCAAGGTCAGACCAATAGTTTTTGAGTTATTCTTAAATAACTTATATTGAAGTCGGCTGGACAAAATTTTTAATTTTAATTTATTTTTGAATCAATCGAATATTTAGACCGATTGTAAGCCTGTTTTCTAAGAAAATGAAATTTTTTGTTATGTAGGCGTTCCTATTTACATTGTAACTAATAATTTATTGCAATTGATGCCTGCACGGCGATTACGTGCTTTTTAAGGATCCCTCGCCTCGGTACAGGTATTTTTAATTGCTATGAACTGATAACATTCCTTTAATCATTACCGTAATAAAGGTAACGTTAATTAACGTTATTTTGTCTGGGATATTTATAAAACGACACATAGTACGCCATAGAAGGATTATCTTGACTACTTTTTTACATTAAATGAAACTAATTTTCACGGATTTTTTTTCGCGTTTAATTTAACTTTTTACTTCCCGACGTTTCGGGTGCTTTTCAGCACCCGTGGTAAACGGGAATATTTATTAAACTCCAGACAAGATATTTCTCATTTATCGTAGAGACGTTTTACATACATAAATTGCACATGAAAAAAATATCCGATAAGAAATTTGTATATTTTCTCCGTGCGAGATTCGAACCCGCGGCCCCGATGTGTCACAGCTAAATGCTTAGCCACTGAGCTACCGATCCCTCAAAGATGGAGCCTTGGATGTTTTAGATTCACAATTGTACCTGGTAGATTGCGTTATTGTCTAGATTCAGATATCACCCGTGCTAAACCGGGGTGGATCGTTAGAACAAGACAGAGATGGTTATATTCTAAAGAACAATTACGGGCAATGAGGCCTTTGCCTTAGTCCTCTGGGGTGACAAACCCAATGGCCATCATTGTTTGGAGTTGTATACGAGCAATTGCGGCTGTCAAACTGCAGTGGCGAATTACCGTCAGATATACTTATAGCTCAATCATAACATTCGTGCTTCAATCAATAAAAATACTGAATAATAGAAGTCCATTACATTCATACAAATATGTTTACAGGTCAAGGTCATAAAATTATGTTTAAAATAGGAATCAGCGTCGGGGAGACGGGCACGATCACAATCCAATACATGACAAACTCGAAAACAAACAATATGATTTTTATAAAAAATATATATATATAGGATAATGGTGACAAACGAGCACCTAGTCCACCCGATGGTAATAGGTCAATGCTCCACATAGGCATCTACATCTATCCTCCACTACAAATTAAAATGCGTTCTTACCCGTGAAGACTAAGATGGAATGCCTCGTTTCCAGTAAAAAGTGTCTCTGATTCTCCACCTTCACCATACGAAACAGCACCGTTAAGCTGCTATTTTGCGCTGTTATTCTGTGATCTGGTCTATAATCAGTGAATTTCCCAATATCCCGCCACAATACGGAAACATTAGAAACGCAATACTATCTATCTATTTAATGAAAGTTGTAATTGTTTTTTTTTTCAGATCTACAAATATCCGAGGCATTTTACTAACGTCCACATCCATTGTCGGCATTTTTGGTACTTTAGCGGCGTACAGCATTGGCCCGTTCGTATCATATGCGGCAACTGGTTATTTTGCCCTAGCGATTAATTTAATTCACGTTGTAGGTATATTGTTTATACCTGAGTCGCCAGTTTATTACGCTATAAAAGGTAAGCAATTTGTACACTGTAATTTATATATAGACGGACTTAATGCCTGAGGCAACTAGTCAGTATCTTAGAATAGAACAGGAGAATATTTTCATAATGATTCTGGATTCCAGTTTTGAATAATTATTTTTTTTTCATTCCTTCATTGTACTCAAAAAGTCCACTACTAAAGACGGGCCTCTTACATATTATTAAGGGTATATTTGCCATAGTTTCACTCTTGGTAAAGGGGGCTAACAACCGCAGCCTTTATTATTTTCTACCGACTTCAAAACGGTACTCAATTCGATTGTACCTATGTTCTTTTTTATGTGTAAACCGATTTTGATGATTCTTTTGAAAGCTGGTGCTTCTCATATGGTCTCATATAAATTTTATCAAGATCTGACCACAGAATGGTGGTGGATTCTCTTACGTTACCACTACGCGACGAACTGATTGAACTTTTGAAAATTGAACTGATCCCAAGTAAACATACTCGTCAAGCTATGGCCAGACCATTGCCGCTTCAGCTTACTAATCTGTTGGACTATGTCGGTCACTCTGGTTCTACTGAGTATATCCTTATTTCTAAGTTTATCACGCAGAGAAACCCCGAGCATAGCCCCCTCCATAGCTCGCTGAGCGACTTTGATCTTCCTAATAAGGCCAGCAGTGAAGTACCACGTCTCAGATCCATAAGTCATACTGGCAACACGCACTGGCTGTACAATCTGGTTTTCAAGGTTTGAGGTATACTTGACGAGAAGATATGTCGTAACTTCCCAAAGGCTGCCGAGCCGAGTTGAATCCGTCGATTGAATTCTCGATCAAAGTTGAACTTACCTAGTTGGACTATTTGTCCCAGATAAACATACACATCAACAACTTCGAACTTAGTGCTCCCAACAACTATCGGTATAGGTGTGACATAGATGTTACACATGATCTTTGTTTTGTCCATGTTCATCTTAAGACCTATCCGTTGAGAGGCACTATTAAGATCATTGAGCATAGTGCTTAGGTCCTCCAGCTATTCTACCATAAGGACTATATCGTCAGCAAATCGAAGGTGAGTGATGTACTCGCCATTGTTAATACCGTATCCTTTCCAGTCCAGTAGCTTGAAAACGTCTTCCAATGCTAATGCAGCGGTGAGGAGTTTCAGGGATATATAACGTCACCCTGAACAATGAACATTGCAGTGTATTTGATGATTATTTTTCACAGCAGTCTATAGGGTGTCCATCCAACTTCAAATAAAGAAGACCGTCGGCTTTATCACGGTTGTGTGTATGTTTATGCGTATTTATAAACATAATTGCATTGAACATGGCTGAATTTTGTTACTCATTTAAAGATTTTAGGAATTTCCTGCGTTTAGAAATTAATCTTCTACTTGTAATCGGTTGCTATTATCTCCAAAAAATATTTTATTTTGTTATAATCTAGGTGGTAGGACTTTTTACCTGCCTTGGGAATCAGCCTGGTTATCACGGTTGTGTGTATGCTTATACATATTTATAAACATAATTGCATTGAACATGGCTGAATTTTGTTACTCATTTTACGATTTTAGGCATTTCCTTCGTTTAAAAATGTATCTTCTACTTATAATCAATTGCTAATATCTGCAAAGAAATATTTTATTTAGTTATAATCTAAGTGGTAGGACTTTTTACCTGTCTTGGGAGTCAGCCTGGGTAGGTACCGTCTCTTACCCATTTCTGTCATCAAATAGCAGTGCTAGCACTATTGTGTTATAGCCTGAAGGGTACAGATAACTAACATAATTACAAGCTGTGATGCATTCCATCTTAGTCCTCAGAGGTGTCATCCATGTTGGCGGACTTCATGTCTTGAATTTTTTTTATTTCTCAGACATGAAGACTTCTTCATGATGTGCACCTTCACCGCCGAGCACATCGTAAATCAGCACTTAAAATTGCAATTAACAACTTCATTGGTGCCTGCGGTGATCGTAACTGGGTACTCGCATAATGTGAAATTTACAGTGAGCGCTACCATGGTTAAATACGAACTATTTCGTTGTTTTAGGTAAGCAGACGGAAGCGAAGGAAACTCTACGGTTTCTTGGACGTCTTGATGACTTGGACAATGTCTTTGAGTCAGTCCGTGGGACGAACCCTAACGAAGGTCACAGCTGGAAGGCCTGGATAAAAATATTCACGGTGAAAGCCAATAGATGGTCTCTTTTCATCACACTGAGTCTTTGCACGCTGCAACAGCTTAGTGGGGTGGCTGCGGTTTTGTTTTTCGCTACGACTATCTTCCAGATGGCAGGATCCTCTATAAGGTTTGAATTAATTTTATGTCATATTTGCAATTAGCTAGTTTTTTTTATATTATAGTGGACAAACGAGCATGGGCCTCACCTGATAGTAAGTGACTATTGCCGCCGAAGAACTACAACTCCAGGGCAATCGCAGATGAATTGCCGGCCTTTTAAAATAGAGTAGGCTCTTTTTTGAAGATCCCTAAGTCGTGTTGCTCCGGAAAAATTGTTGGTGGTAGTCAGGAAGTTGTGCGAGGAAAAAAACTTCTAGTACATCGCACAGTAGTAGACCGCCAATCATTCAGATGTTATGGATGGTATCGTGAGTTTTGTTGCTATGTGCGATGATGAAATTTAAGTCATGTATATAGACTATAAATTTTTAAATATAGAGGTTAAAAGTTCATTATTAAATAATAATAATTACATAAAATTTATTTATTTATATAACATAAAAATAAACATAGCCGAAAGAACAGAGTCGGCTCCTGGTCGCGTGTGTTAGCGGCGTAAATTATACCAAACCCTAGTATCCCACTGAATGAATAATGAATATAGAGATTAATTTTATATTTTTATTATGATAAAATACATGCAACTAGCTAGTAACTGGATAATGGCCTTTTTTATATAAGAGGGGACACACGGGCATGCGGCTTACCTGATGGTAAGTGACTACCGCCGCCCATGAACAACTGCAACAGCAAGGGAATAATGCTCTTGTTTATCCCGTGGGGTGGTGATTTGTAATACAGGCATTTTATAGCCTAACTCAGACACCAGCCCCTCACATATTCTAGACTATGAGTATGAACACACCTGTATTTAAAGAGATGTAAGTTTTATTATGTATTGTCTGTTTTTGTGAGAAGAAAAAAACATTATTATTATTATTATATCAAGGGAATTGTAGATTAATTTCTGGCATTTTAAGAAAGAGTAGGCTCTTTTCTTGAAGGTCCCTGAGTCGTATCGGTTCGGAAAAATTGCTGGTTGTAGTCGATTCCATAACGAATGAAGGGATAGTATAACGGTAGTAATACAATGTAAAAATAAATCAATAAACAAATATTAAAAACTTCTTTTACCAGGCCGGATTTAGCGACCATAATAATTGGCGTCACGCGGTTGGTTGCCAGTTTGATTGCGCCGGCGGTCGTGGAGAGGGCTGGGCGCAGGATATTGCTTCTCGTGTCAACAGCGTGCTGCGCTATGAGTCTAGTGAGTTGTCATAATTATATAATCATCGGAAGTATATATATATAAATTACGTGTCACGTTGTTTGTCCGCGATGGACTCCTAAACTACTGAACTTTTTTTATTGCGAATTTAAGGATTTTTTAATAGGACAGAGTGTCGTCGGTATGGGCAGAACAACGTCTGAGCGAGCTAGTACCTAATACATATCTGTTAGGAATCTAGGCCATATTTTTAAATAAAACTAATTTTACGGATTTTATCGCGTATATTAACTTATTTTTAACTTATTTTTATATTCCCGACGTTTCGGGTGCTTTCCAGCACCCGTGGTCACGGGGGATCCCCCGTGACCACGGGTGCTGGAAAGCACCCGAAACGTCGGGAATATAAAAATAAGTTAAAAATAAGTTAAAAATAAGTTAATATACGCGATAAAATCCGTAAAATTAGTTTTATTTAAAAATGTGTAGTGTTCGCGTAAATATAAGAAATCATTAGGCCATATTTTATAAAAAAACTTAAAGATTAAAAAAAACAAATAAAAATATAAGCAGTGTTCTTTGGCTATCTTAAATTTAAATAACGCCACATTTATGGATCATATCCGTCCGAAGTCGGGACGGTTGGCTATCTATACATATAAACAAATAAATAAAATTGAAGTGTCTGTTTTTAAAGTCAAAATAACAGCTTTTTACTAAATGCATATGAAAGTTTATAGGGAACTTATAACAAAAACACACTTTTTAAATTTTTGTCTGTCTTTCTGTCTGTATGTCTGACTGTCTGTCTGTATGTATGTCTGTCTTTTTGTTCCGGCTAATCTCCGAAACGACTGGACTGATTTTGACGGGACTTTCACTGGCAGATAGCTGATATTATAGGGATTAATAAAAAATTAAAACTCTAAATTACACGCGGGCGAAGTCGCGGAGAACAGTTAGTTCAAGTATATATATATTAATACTAAAAATACTAAAAAAATTTGAGGGTCATTTATCGGGATAAAAACAATCATAATTATCTCTCAAGTTGGACCAAAATGCACACAGTGTAGTAGCAAATTCTCCTTATTTCCTACATCATCACGTATAAGTCCACAGATGGGCACCTCTCCCATCGTACGGAGGATTTAACTTAGACGTCATACTTGTCAAGCTTGGATAATCACATTAGCAGACGCCTCGCACATTTGGCGCTAACACTTGATTGTGGACCCTTGATGCGCAAACGTAACACTCATCTGGGAAATTATGTACTTAGCTCAGAAGAATTTAAGTTTCTCACTGCTAAGGAACTCCTTCAATTCATTTAAATAAAATTAGTTTTACGGATTTTATCGCGTATTTTATATTCCCGACGTTTCGAGTGCCCATGGTCACGGGGAGGACTGAGGTGATTGACGTCCCAATGTCATAGTTAACCACGGCTACCTCCAGATCTCTTTTCACTGCTAACGATACATTTCATCTAAGTCCTCGGAGATGCCAAATCATCTGCATTTATTCTTAATTTTTCCTACTATTTTATTTAATTCTTATTTGTATTATTTGGTAGTATGCGTTTTCTGCCGAGTTATCAAACATTCATTACTAGCTGTTCCTCGCGACTTCGCCCCCGTTTAATTTAGGGTTTTAATTTTTTTGCGAGGAACCCTAATTATTTTTTTTAAATAAAAGTAGTCTAAGTTACTCCTTATGACATCAGCTATCTGCCAGGGAAAGTTCCGTCAAAATCGGTCCAGCTGTTTCGGAAATTAGCTGGAACAAACAGATATACAGACAAAAATTTTAAAAAGTGTATTTTTGTTATATGTACCGTTTACATTTTCATATGCATTTAGTAAAACGCTGTAATTTTGACATTACAAACAGACTCTTCACTTTCATTTATTTGTGTAAATGTATTTAATATTATACTTTTGATTTGAATTGATTTTTTGATTTATAGTTTTGGATATTTATTTTTCTGTGTGAGCAGCTATGCAAGTCTAGAAAGACCAGAATCACTGCGACCAATAAAATGTATTGTGATCGCTGCTATCATTATAGTTCACTGCTAACCCCAATAACTTCAATGAATTGAAGCATTTCTTATATTTACGCGAACACTACACATTTAAATAAAACTAGTTTTACAAGTGATCTTTATTTATGTGTATACATTAATTTCTTTATTCTACTATGTTTTATAGTATGAAGTAGCATAACTATATAGTATTTAACGCATATGCATTTTACGAGTAATTATTAATTGAGGGTAAATGTAGATGTCTACGGGCCACAGCAACCACTTACCATCAAGTGGACTTTGTGCTCGTTTGTCACACTAATTCTATAAAAAAAAAAATCGTCTTATTTTCACAACAGCTGGATACTGTGATGAGGATTTGCCTTTGTCATTATGCTCGCCTGGTTGATCGGCGACCATAATAGCAGTCGCCTTGCACATTTGGCGCTAACGCCTGTTACCAGTCAAGGTTTCCACCTTAAGCTTTAACGGGATAGAATAACACCATCTAAAGAAAGCCATAAGATTTTCCTGTCATTTATCCATTTTTCACGTTTTTCACGAAATTCACAGGATAAAATGGGATGATAGAATACCTTATGACGCCACCACTCGACGTGCCTACTCATTTTTGAATCCCTATTATTATTTATTACCAAATTTGCAGCAATATTTTTACAGGCGCTACGATCAGATGTACAATATATCTCAAAATACGATAAAAACATCTTAGCAATTTAGACTGTATTTTTAGTTAAGTTGAAATAACTGTTTTGATAAAACACTTCATCCTTACGTACAGTGTCTTTTTTTATAGGACAAGGGTGACAAACGAGCACACAGTCCACCTGATGGTAAGTGGTTGCTGCGGCCCATAGACATATACATCAATCCTCTATTACAAATCAAAATGTAGATGCGTTGTCACCCGTGAGGACTAAGATGGAATGTTTTTTGATAGTTTTTATACAGGGTACCTATGAATGACTATTTCGAGGTCTATGCATTTTTATAAAATGTTTTATTGTTACAATTCTTAATTTTTATAAAAGCTTTTAAAGGTGACAAGAGAACTCACTGTCTACCTAATGGCAAATAGATGCTGTGGATCATAGACAGCTACATCTATCCTCGACTCCATTAAAATGCGGATGCGTTGTCACCTAACAGAAGTAATGACTAAAATGGGATGTTTCGCTACCTTTACAAAATAAGATCTTATCATATTCTGCATTAATAAATATACATATTATGCTGCTATTTTACGCTGGTATTCTGTGACAGCGTGCTCCATGTCCAGTCTAAAAGTCTCATTATACTGAGCCATAATATTAACGCAATGTAACAGCCATGTAATGACTACGAATTATCTACATTTATGTAAAATGTTTCCACTTGTAGCTGCTTCTGATTCAATTAGTTAAAACAACAGCATATTCAAATATATTTGACTGTTTAATCCACAGTAAAATATTATAACAACTTTACTATTTAACTAAAGTTATAATTTATGTGAACCTATGTCTTTATCGAGACTGCAATACGAATGCGAATGAACACGAATGAATGATATAATTGACAACACTTATTGGCAGCTGTAATTTTTGTGAGAGATTCGGATTTTAAAAATAAATATTTTTTGATTTCATGGTGATAATTTAGGTTGCTCTGTTACTATGAAACCTAATTAAGACTGATTTCTAAGTCAACTACGGCCCCATAAAAGTAATTTTTGTAACGTACTATAATTCAATATTTTTTTTTCAGTCAATTCTTGGCGCATTCTTCTACTTGACTCGAGTTAAGAATCCAGTTGTTGCAGACATCGGCTGGCTGCCATTAATGGCCCTCATCATGTACTTCTTTTCATACGAAACTGGTAAATCCTTTTTTTTTCTTTAACAGCTCGTTACGTTACGACTTACTACGAAACGAGATAATCGGTCTGCTGCTGCTAAACGACATAAGTAAGTTAGAGGGTTATAACTACATATTTTGATTCCATTATACACAAAAGATCTTTATGAATGCGACTAGCTTTATGGTTGAGTGTCGCCGTAGAGTGGCGGTGTAAGAATATCCACTAACACATATATTGCCGTGTGTGTCGTAAGAGGCAACAAGGGAAAACAGACCAGGACATGGGCAGCAGCGTCTACTGGAGGCAACTAAAAAAGCTCGCCAACTGACCTGCTAAGTGTGGCGACGATTGTGAATGTCTCCCTTATGAGGCAATCTATGGTGAGGCCTACCGTTAGTCGAACGGTAAGGCTACTCAAAAGTCGTGAATTCGAACCCGCCATTCGGTACTGTCATGAAACTATATACAATATGTAACAAAAACCCTGTGGTTCACGTTAAGTACGTTATCAGCATCATTATTCAAACGTACAGAAATAACTTTTTTTTAAAAATTTTAACAATTTTTTTTTTACTTTATTTAAAAAAATAATTGTATGCAAATTGTATGTGTTTTTATTACCTCTGCATTATTTGGGGAGTAAGAGGATTGTCAAAGACCCACTTTACTTAACTTTAGCATCGGCTAGTGTCAGTAAGAGATAATAAAACCGCATAAAATTAAAATAAAATCAAATTATAAATAAAATTAAAAAAAGATATGATCGAGTTTTTAAAAAAAAAGTTATTTCTATAGGTTAGAATACTGATCCTGATAACGTACTTAGTGGGAACCACAGGATTTTTGTTACATGTTGTATAAAAAAAATTGTTGTTATCCGCCCGCTTCGCTGAGCCTATATATAAAGATGTAACCCCTCTCCCTCCCCTCCTATATCATAGCATTGCAAAAAGTGTTCTAGGTTCTAATCCATAACATATTCAACTTCTATGCCAAGTTTCATTAGAACCTGTCAAGACGGCCAATCAATACATGGTACATGGCGACACTAGTTACTACTAGCGCCCTCTGGTATCGAGTGGTGGAACTAGGAGAGTCAAGAACATTCTAGAAATTTCTATAGTAGAAGGTTCTGGAAACTACCTGAGGCCTTATATAAGGCCGGTATAGACCGCGACCGAGTCAGTATTGAATTGGCGATACAAGCGAATACTTCGAAGCGATACAACTGCGAACTAAAGTGATCAGTAGTACAATTGTGTTTTATTATTAGTGTGGTTTTAAGTTGTAATTAAAGTGTCAATTTTGTTAATTCAATCGGCAGTTCTTAATTGTCTCGAATCCCAATTGTTACGAAAACAATACTTTCATATATTTTCTTTACACGATTTTTCATTTTCAAATTTTCTTTCCAGGTTTCGGAACAATGCCAAGTGCATTAGTTGGAGAAATGTTCCGTGGTAATGCACGCAGCACTGGGTCAGCCGTTGCCATGACAACGGCTTGGCTCATCGGTTTCGGAGTAGCTACGGGTTTCGGCCCCATGGTCAGAGTACTTGGCGGAGACGTCACGTTCTGGATGTTCTCCTTTTCATGTATTGTCGCTTTTCTGTTCACAATTAAGTTTGTGCCCGAGACAAAAGGGAAGACATTAAACGAGATCCAAGAGCTTTTAGGAAGACAATGACTAGATATGTACTATGTATTGTAAGAATTTATTCATTGAGGAACAAATTGAGAATGAGGATAAAAGAAGAATTATTAAAATTTAAACTGTTGATCAAGGCACAAATAAAACCAGAGGTCAAATTTATTACGAATAACCCCCAAATTCCACGAAGAAATTGTTAATTACAATTTTACGAGATGATTTACCAATTGCTCGGCGTTGAATGAAAACATTGTGAAAATCATGTGATGATGACGTGGAAGTCCGCCATCATGCACTGAAGCAGTTTGACGCACTAATTGCTTCAAAAGCCTTTCAGAAATGCGAGTAAGGCTGAGCCTCGCTGTGGGTCGTATATATAAGACTGTAACTAATAACTTTATTACGATAATTTTTAATTAAATTTTCTTTTCTTTGCTTGATTGAATGATAGGTAATCTAAAATCTTCCGCTAACCAGATGTCGCTAGTTGTGACCGAGGGAAAGGTTTTTGTCACACAAATAAATTAATCTTAAATAAATGTTTATCAGTTTCTTAGTATTATATTAATACACAAAACTATGCCTCAGTGATTTGCTCTTTAATTTTTTGTACATTTTAACTTTTTGTTTTTAATTTTTTACTTTTAGGAATATCAGTAGATTGGTTTAATCGTTTTTAATCTAATTTGTATAAAATATAACAAATATTTCTGAAAGAAACATTAATTTTTACACTTTTCTTGCACGCTGCGTCTATTTTGTACTATTATTTATTCTGTGGTCTCTCGACGAAGAGCCGCTGCGCTGTTATACGTCGCGCCACGCGGCGTCGCACCTCGAGATGCCTCGCGGCGTGGCGCGGCGCCACGTGGCATTTTCGAATTATTTCAATAAAAAGTGTATCTTTATGTGTAGTAAATAAAGTTATATTTCGTATCGCTATCTTAAAAAGTGTCATGTTTCGGTGTGAACTGACCCTTAAATGTGAGCCTTTAATATATAAAATAAAAGACGAGTATTAAAGATTGTGATTTAAGCGTAAAATAAATGAATAATATATATAATTGAAAACACAAGACTATATTATTTTTAACTTGGAATATGTAGATCTGGTATACAATTATTCATATCATGGGTGTTTGCAAAACATTTTTGACGAAAGGTTATGGACAGCAGCATCTTCCTTATACATTTCAAAATAACAGAAAATTGCGGAAAATTCCCCCTTATGATGTAATCAATAGGGGAGGCTTATATTTAGCAGTGGACTTGTGATAGTCTGTAATTGATGAATGTGTGGATGGTATATAGAATAGTGTACGAATAAAGGTGACAAACGACCACACAGTCCACCTGATTTTAAGTGGATGCTGTGTACCATAGATGTCTACATCTATCTGCGATTAAATATCAAAACGCTGATGCTTTGTGATTAATGTAATGTGTCGTTATGTAACAAAAGGTCTTGAGTCTTTGATTGAGATTTTTGTAAAAAACGTACATAAAACGAAATTTTTAAATGTTTTTCTATAAAACCTAAAAATAAATATTCTCAAACCGTATGACGTTGTTTTCTTAATCCTTAAATTAGCTGTATTAAAAAAAAAAACAATAGGTTTATCAAAAGTATGCAACTGTTGAGAATGTACGGTAGTACCAACATAATAATAAGGGTTAGTATCCAAATCGAATTTAAACCTTATAATCCTTTAACAATCTGGATTGGACATGGACCTTCCTCATAGGTTAAGTTCACTTTAGACGGCTCTGTAGCGCAGTGCCTGAGCGTTTGATCAAGGCGCTGTAGAGCCGTGGGTTCGAATCCCGCAATTAACAAGTTGTATGGCCTACAAAATAAATAATTGCTCTGGGTCTGGATGTATCTTTCGTACAAACCTTATTATCCTTATCATTCTTTAACACCACGCTACTGGACATGGCCCTCCTTCATTGTATAAGGTTTGTTATAATCGTCACAATTTTGACGGTTCTGTATTGGCGTTTCTGAGAGCTTGATCAAGGCACCGTAGATCCGCGGTTTCGAATCCCGCATGCAATACGTTGTATGGCCTATAAATAATTATTCTGGACTTGGATGGTGTATCCTTTTGTAATTTGTGTAGAGAAGAAAATCTTACTGTTATATTTCACTTTAATCACGGCAAAGCTAATTAATTAAGTTGTATTACGTGTTAACGAAAAGGATTATATTACTTCTAATTCAACTCACAGATAACCATAAAAAACCAGAGACAACAACTACTAGGGTTGCCTTGAAGATTATAAATGTATAACACTTTCTGTAGAGTTTAGGTTTATTTAAAATAAAACACTTGGTAAATAGATCCTCGTCGCCGATCTGTGCATTAAATCTGTCATCTATCGGAGGCCACGATACCTTTCTTCCCTTTCCCTTATTCGCCTCTTCCTAAAACTGCCAACCAAACACGGCAACGTACACCAAGTGTTTCTTAACTTGTATATGAACTTGAATAGTTGTTATCCGCTCGCTTCATTACAATATATGGGCCATGAATAAATTACTGAAACTGTCACTGCTACTGAAAACTTCTTTAGCCGCATTGAGCGATTTTTGGTAGGAGAAAAACGTCACCGATGACCTCCACATGCTTGTGATGTATTGCGCAATACATCACGAGCATGTCTACTACACGTAGTATAGTTTTCACTTCTGTCAGCAGTCTTTATGAGTGCCTCTTTTATTAATAAAAAATGGTAAGCACGCAGACCACCACACGTCTATCCTAGAATAACAATCAAAATGCAGATGCTTTGTCTCCCGTGAGGACTATGATGAATGCCTTATTTCACATATGAAATACAGCTGCTATTTCACGCTAATATCCTGTGAAAGCGTGTTTTTTGCCCGGTCGAGCCGATCCATTCGTGCTACAACTGTATAGTTGAAGCATGGCTTTCCCACGTCTAAAATATGTACATTATATTCTATAGTGTACAGTGCCTAGTATACAACGGAAGAAATACCTTTACGGAAGAATACATCTTAACTGATTGTGGACCCTTAATGCGCAAACGTAACACTCATCTGGAAAACTATGTACTTAACTCAGAAGAAGAGACATTGCTTACAGCTAAGCAACTCCTTCATTTCTTTAAGGACATAGGGCTTCGCAGTGAACTATAGCAATAGCAGCGATAACAATAGATCTTTTAGGTAGCAGTGATACTGGTCTTTCCGGACTTGCATAGTTGCTTGCACAAAAAAAAACAGTACTTACTATCACTAGTGTTTATTGAAACTTTATAATTAATACTTCTTTAGTGTTTGTGAATATAAATTAACCTGTAATAAAAAAAAATACATGCTTGAGTGTCGTGGAACACTCGGTTGTTACGAAGTTCCTTCGTAGTATATTATTATTGTTAAACGTATATTATTGATTAACAAATGCAAATAAATGAATTCTAGCATCTACTAAAATGAATCGTCATATAAAATAAAATATATATTATTATTGATAAACTTATTATATTATTGATTAACTTTCGAGCGGAACACATCTGCATTTTGATTCTTATTCGAGGATAGATGTAGATGTCTACTATGGGCCACAGCATTCACCTAACATCAGGTGAACTGTGTACTCTTTTGTCACCCTTATCCATCGATCACTAATAAAAAACTATCTATCTATAACTAAGTATCAGTGACAAAAATGGCCTTAACAAATGAGCGCCTATTCGAACATTTGGGTGCGCTTTTAATTTGTACGTAGCTTTGTGAATCCAAATTTCTTTAGGTAATTCATTTAAGGTTGAATTTACATTAATGTATATTTATTTCAACTAATTTACAAATTACGTCAAAACAATTGGCGGCTGTTTTCAGAGACCTTTTGCATGGGATTGTGTATCTAGTTCTTTTATTAGTGATCGATGCCCTTATTCTATAGAAAAACATCGAGTGATTTGTAGGTACTAATAGGATTCTGTCTAAAAACTCAATGAATCCCGACTGAATTTTTTGATTATTATTTTCTTATTATACGCCTCTCGGTTTTCTACAGGATGCATTTCGGAGTGTGCGCATAATTGTAGTTTTATTTAATTTTTGTTTTATTTTATTTTATTAGGAATTGCATAATTTAATTCCTCCCTCTCCCTTTCACCATCGGACAACCAGACGTTCGGCCAGTCTCTGTTCTCCACCCTTTCGTTGTTCCCTTACCACGCATTCGAACCAAACGGTTCGCCACGTCGTTCATCATGCGTACAGCAAAGGAGTGGAATAAGTTGCCAGCATCTGTCTTTCCATCCTATTACAGTGTGGGTGTCTTCAAGGCAAGAGGGAATAGGCTTCTGTTAAGTCAGTGCGCTTCACCATCTTAGGCTACATCACCACTTACCATCAGGTGGGATCGTAGATAAGCACTGGCTTAGTAGAATATTAAAAATACAGTTAAATAATAGTTATTTTTCAAAGAATAGTCAAATTTGAAACTTAACTTCAAATATATAAGTATGATATACCGTTATTGTTTCAAATTATCCCAAATTGAATGTGAATTATGGGCAACAACTACGCGTACGGGCGCTCCTCTATGTGTGATTCAATTCACAACGTTTTTCCCAACCCTTATGAATGTGTGTGTGCGTAATAAAATAGTAGGTGTTAGATATTTATGAAGGACAATCATTTAAAATAATGCGCTACCACGAATTTTAAATTTAAAAGATAAAAAATACAGATTTTTTAAATTATTTTTTGCCAATATTACTTATTCTGAACCTTCTCTGCAAATTCGGCCGGTTATTACAAAATAACCCTGTATTTTAATTATATTAAATAAACATCAGTTTCATCAGCATCGATCTAAATTTTATATAAAACCAACTTTATTTGAATGAAATAAAAATAAAGATAACTATTTTAAACAAAAAAAAATCGATTTTTCAATGTGTACGGATTGGTTTTTGAAATCATTTAAAATTCGAACTTATTAATTTCTTTTACTGACGTGGTCCATACTTTTGAATACTTTGGCTGCTTAGAT